TTATTAATTATCAGAATTTTAATAATTAAAAACAAAACAGAAAAGGATGAGTTGAACAAGATAGTACAGGAAAATCAGTCATTAAGTGTCCAGTATACATGTTCCTCCTTCAATAAAAAGCATCTCAGGATGCACCTCATGAAGTTGGAGTGTTTGTGTGTGTGTGTGTGTGTGTGTGTGTTTGTCATCATTCCTATCTGTGTTATTTCAGAGTTTTGATGATTTTCCTATTATTCTACAATGTGGTCGGTGTGTCCAAACGTTAGACTGCTGCTGTATGCTGTATTTGTGTGTATGTAGTGTATGCTCTTATGCGCATGTTGAGTTTGTCTGTCATCGTACAGTGTGTGTGTTCAGAGCCGTCAGAGTAGTTTCTGCTCCTGATTTTGACCCGGAGGTCAAGGGTTCCCAGAAGACCCGTAAACGACAGCTGCGGCTCCCAGAGGACACTTCACACACACACACACACACACACACACATCGGGCCGAGTAAGTTGAGATGTGAAGAAGAGCCATGTGAATTCCACCGAGTGCTGCAATATCTCTCTGTTCCGCTCGCTGACTCCGTCTAGACTGAAAAACCTTCGTACCGTCCCTGCGTGTTCCCGGAGGGTGCTGGGAACACCGTGACCCTGTCAGGATATACATTTTCATGTAAATATCATTTGCTTTTTCTGAACTATTCGAGCGAATGACCTCTGTGTTCACTGGGCTTATTTTCTGAACACCCACAGCGTGAGCCTCAGCCATTAGGGAGCCAGAACGGTCTAAAATAACAGTGCAGAAAGACGAGACCCGGCCAATCACAGAGCCCTCATTAAAATCACACTGTTTCCATGGCGATAGGATATAATATACATACAGGTTAACCTGGATACACCGGCGGGCCATAGTTAGAGACCAAAGACCTCTACTTTATACAGTCACAATTATATTCTTGCCCTCTGACACACACATACACGTGTAAAGTGTAATACAGTGGCAGGAGTTTATGTACTGAGGGAGCTGTATTTGTACGATGAATGGTGTGCTATTCATAACAACTGTAAAATCTGCAGAAACCATCAGGACACGGTAGGAAACACACATGCAGATGCACTTGAAGCACTCTAGAGACGCACATAAACACATACACACACACACACTATTGAGACTCAAACTGTATTTCATACTAATGTTGTTGAAGCTGCTCTGTAACTGTGGTTTTCTAAGCTCCCAGATACTCATAATTTAAAGTAGTTTAAGTAATTTATACAGTCAACGTTGCACTTTTCATAAGTATATGGCTCATTCTCAGGAGCGCTGCCATTTTTTTCTTCCTGTAATTAACAGGACAAATTACAGATACTTAGTCACTTAGTCAGTTCAAAGATTTTTTCAATTTAAATGAAAGTCTCTTCTGTTCACCAAGGCTGCATTTATTTGGTCAAAAATACAGGGAAATCAGTAATATTGTGAAATATTACTACAATTTAAAATAACTGTTTTCTATGTGAATATATTTTAAAATGTAATTTATTCCTGTGGTCAAAGCTGAATTTTCAGCATCATTACTCCAGTCTTCAGTGTCACATGATCCTTCAGAAATCATAATAATATGCTGATTTGCTGCTCAAGAAAACCTTTTTCTTTTCAGGATTCTTTGATGAAATTAAAGTTCAAAAGAGCTGAATTTATTAGAAATCTAAATATTTAACATTACAAGTGTCTTTACCATCACTTTTGATCAATTTAATGTGTCCTTACTAAATAAAAGTATTAATTTCCTTTAAAAAATATAACTGGCACCAAACATTTGAACGATAGTGTGTGTGTGTGTGTGTGTATATATATATATATATATATATATATAT